CCGGGCCCGGTGTCACCCCCTTTCCTGCACGGCAGGTATCGGCCACTGGGGCCCAGGAGCTTGGGCTGCTGCTTCTGGGCCGTCAGCCCTGTCTTCTGCTCTTTGAAGCTGGCCTTAACTCTCTTTCACCCACAAAAACAAAAAAACAAACCACAAAACAAACCCAAAACATCTGATTTGTTTTGAGCTGGGCAGAAAAATTCTTCAACTAGGAAACCCAGCCCATGGCAGAGGGGTAGAAGTGTGTAACGAAGACAGCAAATACCTTTCATTTCATTGTAATTTCCCCCCTCTTCATTATTTTTTTAACAGTTATGTTTTAATTCCATTTTCTCTGTCCTGAAATCTTCCAGGGCTTTTCTCTCCGTTTCCTTTTTACACCAAACTATTACATTTTTGACACCAGCTTTTCGTCTAAACACAACTTTCAGCTTCATTGCAAAAAAAAAACCAAAACCAACCCTGATCTGGGACTACTAACCAACACAGAGTTCACTTGGAAGCAAGAAATAAAAATAGTGGGAAGATAAACTGCTCCCTCGCAGGCCTCGTGGGCAACTGGGAAGGGTGTAATCACTACCTTTTTCTTTTTCCACTGCGGGGTTATTTGTGTGTCTCCAGCTGCTTCTCAGCCCGCCTTTGCCTAGGCTGCTTTTGTCCAGCCAGCTGGGATTCTTTAACTTGCTGCTGATAGTGTTTAGAAGCTGAGTTAAGAGTCCTAAAGTAGCTCCCTGCTCAGCTTCCTGCGTTAAAACAGCGCAGCTGCTTTTCGGGCTCGGCCCAACGCCGCCGTTGAGCTGGGTTTCCCTTCGGAAGCAGGAGAAGGAGGAGCATGAGCCCTGCTCCTTCCAAGGGAAGAATGTTGCTTCACCCCCAGTAAGCTTAACGGCGCTATGGAAGTGTTAACCAGAAGCTAGGGCAGAGGCAGTGTGTGCCTCCGTCCCTGAACGAGCACTGCCATGCCACAGAAATTACTGTCGTTCAAAGAAGCCTGAGTGACTTGAGAGCTTCCTAGGGCTTTTGGTGCAGCCCTTAAATAAATACGACCTTTTAAAAGCCTTTTAACTGTTTATGGAGCTGGCCTGGGAAAGGGAGGAAGGAAATAGATCGTTTGCAGTTGAGGAAAGGAGAAATTGCTGGGCAGGAAGGCTTTAGTTAAACAAGGGGAGAGAATCTTGTTGGTTTTCTTCCATCAAAGACAATGGGTGTAACAGCTTTTGTGTTCACAGAATCACAGAATGGTATGGGGTTGGAAGGGACCTCTGGAGATCATCTAGTCCAACCTCCCTGCCACAGCAGGTCCACCTAGAGCAGATTGCACAGGAACTTGTCCCCCGGTGGGTTTTGAATGTCTCCAGAGATGGAGACCCCACCGCCTTCCTGGGCAGCCTATTCCAGTGCTCTGCCACCCTCAAAGTAAAGAAGTTCCCCCTCATATTTAGGTGGAACTTCTTATATTCAAGTTTGTGCCCATTTCTTCTTGTCCTGTCCCTGGGCACCACTGAAAAAAAGACTGGTCCCATCCTCCTGACACCCTCCCTTTAAGTATTTATAAGCATCGATCAGATCCCCCCTCAGCCTTCTCCTGTCTAGACTAAAAAGACCCAAGTCCCTCAGCCTTTCTTCATAAGAGATGCTCCAGGCCCTTTTCAGTGATGATGGGGTGCCAGTTGTTTAGCTCTGGCAGGTAGCATGGCAGGTGTACCATCTCCAGAATACCCTTTGGGTGCTCTCGTCTTGAGCCAGGAGTTAATGTGGCATTAAGTTGTGACACAGCCAGCTTTGTGAGGCTGTTTCTGCACTCGTGCTTTTGGCTGGCCAGGAAGTGTGTCAGTTGTCTAGAGAGCGGCTTAGCACTATTAAGAGAGTTCAGTTTGCTTCTTTAAAACCAACAAACCAACCATGATGTGTAGTGAGCTCTGATGGGGTTTTGTCACTGCATCTATGAAGGATAGATGGTGCTGCTGTGGTGGAAGCAACCACAGATGTCTGGGGACTCTGTGGAGTGTAGGATGTGAACATGTTGGTTTTGCTGGCCATGGTAGTGCTGTGTTAAAGCTTGATACCTTCTTGTGACCTCTACAGAGGTGAACCAAACAGTATTGCTATATATTGCTAGGAAAGGATATATTGAAAGAGTAATGTCCTTATGAGCCTGTATGACTTTCACTTCTAGGGAAAGAAAATATCCCAGGAAGCTGGTGATGGGGAAATTCCAAAATTTGATGGAGCAGGTTACGACAAAGACTTGGTTGAAGCTCTTGAAAGGGACATTGTATCAAGGAATCCAAGCATTCATTGGTATGAAGATTTTCTCAATTCAGGTGTTTTTTGCTAATGCGGAGAAGGAGAGAAATTACCCTTCTTCTAACTCAGGGAGCCATCATAATCTTCTACAGATAAGCAAAACAAGGTCTTTTGGTTTTAACAGTTTATTAATTTGATTACAGTTAAGCTTTTGTTGCTAACAGATATTATGTGCAGTACATTCATTACAGGTGCTGCTGAACGGAAAGTACACTCCAGAGAACTTTAAAGATACTGCTTTGGTGTTCACGTTGTCCAAAACAATTTTTAATTAAGCAGCTCTGTATAGCTTCAGTTGAAAATCATTTTTTCCCTACCTTCCAAAATGGGATTCAATTTTAGGTCACAGGATTATAGAAGTGGTCTCACGAGGCATATATACTGGCATGCTGAAAGAGATGGTACTGAGTGAAAAGCTTTCCTATTTTTCTTGTATAAAAATAGAAGAAATATTGTTGTACGGGAATCTTATACAAGTTTCTTCATCTTGCACAGGGATGACATAGCGGATTTGGAAGAAGCCAAGAAATTATTAAGAGAAGCTGTCGTTCTTCCAATGTGGATGCCTGATTTTTTCAAAGGGATCAGAAGACCTTGGAAGGTGGGAATTTATTTGGTGTTTTAGTAAATGGCAAGCTGTATTTACGTATGTCCGCTGCTGTAATGTGTGCGCATGCCTGTAGCAGAAGGCTAAAAAGGCAAATGGGAAAGATCAGGAATTTGCTAATGAAATCCTCTTGTAATGATGTAAAATGCACTGAAAGAAGCAGCTGGACATGTATGTGGGCTTTACAGTAAATAATAATTCTTTTGTATTTACTCAGTCAGTGCTTGTTGACATTATAGTTTCTGTACGTCAGCCTGTACATGTGTGCAAGCCCATAGGGTATATTGACAGAAACAGAAACGCTTAACAGAGAGCTCTGTTTAGGATTATGGTGGCTGCTCTTCAACACTTCATGGAGGAAAGCAGCTCTTGGGCTTTTATTCTGCATGTGGTAACTATCTCACTCAGACTGCAAACTGCAGGCTGGATGGTGCAAGGAAGCAAGGAGAGAGGGGGCTAATCTGAGTGTTGATTTGGTTTTGTGATGATTGAGCTAGTTACACTTGCAGCTGGGCATAGATACTGCTGGAGTGGGAGAAATTCAAAGTGGGAGAATGAGCTGCAAGTGGGGCGGCAGGAAGGATACAGGACTGAGCTGACGGACCTGAGGCAAGCCCAATCTGGGCCTTGCTTAGAGCTAAAAAAAGAGAAGGAAGGAGGAGGTTGCTGAGCATTTCTGCAAACAGAAAATAAAATTATCTTGCTTTTGTTGTGGGATGGATTGGCACTTGTTTTGGGAATAACTAGTCACAGCACAAGGGCTTTCTGCTTGCTGAGAAGTATTACTGGGGAAAAGAGAGTGCTGCAAACAGTCTGTTACTCAGAGTCTGCAAGGCAGCGGCGTGTGTAGGGAATGCTGTGTACGTGACTCCTTGCTGTGGTTTCACACACTGCTTCAGGAGCGTGTGTCAGATCTTGTGTTGCTAACGCTTGCCCCGTCTTTTCCTGCTTGTACTTCTCTGGCTTACATTTAGGTCTGACCCTCAGAGCTGTCCTCCTCCAGCCTGAGCCGGTCTTAGATCCCTGTTGTTCTGCTTATTTATGAAATAAAGCCCCGAGGGGACTGATGAGTGGAAGACTTGTCATTCCTGGGGCTTGTGCCTACAGAGAGTAAAGAGAGGGAGTCAGAAAGAGTGGGAGCTGACGGCAGGAGCTGGGAGATTGGTGCTTGAGTGATGTTCATGGAGGTTTTAGTGAGTTGCAGGGGGGGCAGCCCAAACCTAGCCTCAGGCTATATGGCCTTTGGGGTTTAGTGTGCTTGTAGTCAGTACTGGTGGGCTTGAGGTTAGCCTTAAGGTTAACAGAGCTATCAGCTTGGGCAGAGCCTAGATAGAGTGTATTGCAAGTGGAGGGTGAGATTTTAGTGTATTTTTCACAGCTGAATCTCTCTTTTTCCCTCTTGGCATAGAGGAATTTGATCCATACCCTTGTTATAGACTACAGGGACCCTGTCTGTCCAGTCTCAAAAACTTATAACGGAGTGAAGAGCTGATGTGCTTTTTTTCACCTGTTAACATGCCTAGAGGATGTAGTGGCCACCTGTCTGTAAGGCAGGTATCTCAGCAGACCGCAGGGAACGTGAAGAGTGAGTGCCCCTGACCCTGTCTCCAAGTATTGTGGCAGTGGATAGAGAAACAATAACCTAGTCTTTTAAAGAGTTACAGCCTCCATCTCTTTGCATGAGATTATCTTTTCCCACTGAGCGGGGTTGCCTCTGGAAACTAGGTTGTTGTAGACATGGAAAAAAATTCTAAGATTATTTCCTCTCTTCAGTCTGAAATGCAAATTGATTTCTGACGAGTCCATGAAGAGTCTTCATTGTTAGCCTTTTCCCTGGTGACTCGTGAAGCTGTAACTCTTCTGAATTTATTTTTCACACAGAACAGCATGTATTTTCCCTACTGTTGACCTCTGACTGTGCTACAAGGATGAGAAGTTTTGAAGGGAAGGCTGTCTCTTGCAGTAATCAGTGTAGCAGCAGGCATTTGTTGAGCCTAGGCATTCAGGACAGTAATTCAGGGAAAAGGCAGCCAAATCTGTTTTTGGATGTTCAGACTCTCCTGAGAACAATTCCCAAGACAGCCCTCGCAGTTTGCGCCTGCATTCAGAGGCCGGTGCCTGGTATGACGGAGCCAGCTGCCTTCCCTGATTCAACACAGGTGCTGTGTCGTCGCAGCCACGGGTTTGTCAGTGTCCACAGCCTTGCTCTTTCTTTTTCTCCGAATTGTTTTGTGCCAAGAAGGCCCGGTCGCTCGCTGTGCTTCCCACTGCTCTGCTAGTGATTGTTACAACAACAAGAAGTAACCCTGCAGTGATTTCATCAAAACACTTACTCCCTGCGGTGCATTTCAGCTTCTTATTGGAATACTTTGGATTAACAGAGCCTTAGAGGAAGAATAAAGAAGTCTTTGTGTTTGTCAAGGATTTTAACTAGTGAGTAAGTGGCAGCCTCCTAGTTTGCAGAGAGAAAGAGCAATTTGATCCTATGTGTTTCTGTTTGAAACTGTGCACATCTTGTTTTGCTGAGGACTCGAGTTTTTTTTTGGTTTTTTTTTTTTTGTAAAAACCGATATTTCTATCATCTTAATCCTGGGAGAGCTTGGTTTTGCCCTGGCTTTACACCTGGTGTGACTGCTTTGCACCTGTGTTGTGCACATATATAATGCCACCAGTATAATGTGCTAGGTAATGCTCACTGTCACAGTTACAGGGGAACTGTAAAGCGATGGGCTTTGATTTTGGCAGTGAGTGGCATGTGTAGCCGAAGCCAGAATTTGGCCTTCTGTAATCATGGAGGACCAAAGCAATATCCAAAAACTGACATTAGTCCCTTGAATCACCAGTAAACACAGTTTGTCAGACACAGGGGTCAAGTGTGATTTGAATTGAGGTGAAGCTTGTTTTAAAATACTAAATAAACACATTTGTAACTCGGGGAGAACAGTAAGTCATCTCTGACCTGCATGTCCCGGGCTGAGTAATTTTCACCCAGTTACTCCAGGGCTGTACTCACAATATTATTGTAATATCGGTATGACTATGCAGCAATTCAAATTCCAGTGTATATCTGAGTGTTCATGGGAAGAAAAAGAGTCTATTTACTTTTTATGCTTTCTGCTCTGGAGCTTAGCAAACCTTGGGCAGCCTGAGGAGTGACATTGGACTGTTAGCTCTATGGATGGTGTGTGAGTGTTTCTAACTTAATTTACCGATGAATGTATGTTGAGCTTGCATTAGCTAAGTGTTAAATGGCAATAAAGGTATTAAGAGTTAATGGAAAATGTAGTACAGAGAGGCTATTGCTTTTGAATAGTACATTTTTGAATAATTGTGTTCCCGGTTGATTTGTTTTTATAGATCTCTTCCATGTCATTCTTTGCGCTTTTTGAAGTAAATTTCTGTGAGGAACAGATGAAATCTAATTTGCTATGTGGCTTGCATTTAACAGATATTTTATTGCTGTGGCATTTTATGTAAGTTATTAATTGCAAAGCACATTATGATGTGCAATTCTAATTCTAGCTAATTTGATTACCCTTGCAACACAGTGCAACTTTTCTTTAGGAAACTCTTGTTAGCATGTAATAAGATCTTGCAGTTGGGAGGGGAAAAAAACCCCAATCTGCTTGCGCACTCCATTTTCCTAGTGCCATGCTTAAAATTGCAGTGCCCTGTTCCAGTGCTGTGGAGACATGGAACAGTGTGTTGTCCTGCTCCAGCACTGCTGCTGAAAGACTATCCATAAAGATAACTGTATTTAGAAATATTATCAAGAGTGATTAACCAGTCTCAGTGCTATAGTCTTAATATGGGTCCTGAGAGCGCTGTGTCTAGCTAAAAATCTGCTGGCATAACGATGGGTAAATGTGCTGAGCTGCAGAGAAGCGTGCTCTTCACTCTGTCTTTCAGGTAGACCACAGATGGAAAGATGGTCCGATGGTGTGGATGCCAATCTGGGATTTAACAATTGTCGCTCAGTTTCCTAGTTTAAAGCTTTCTGAATAATCACTGAGGTTCACATTAGGCTTTTATGGAACTGAGCGGTAGTCACAGAATCACAGAAATGATAGGGGTTGGAAGGGACCTCTGGAGATCATCTAGTCCAACCCCCCTGCCAAAGCACGTTCCCCTTGAGCAGGTTGCACAGGAACGTGTCCAGGCAGGTTTTGAATGTCTCCAGAGGAGGATATTCAAAGAAGGATAGTCCACGTGAACCACAGTTGCTTATAAGTTAAACAGAAATAGCAGTGCTCTTCTGCCATCCAACAGTGTGGTGTGGATGGTGTTTCATGCAGGAATGGCCAAGATGCACTAGTATGGCCAGAGAAGTACTGAGATGGAGAAATTAAACAGTACGACAAACAATATTCAATGAATGCTGAATGCTCTCAAGCATACTTAAATGTAAAAAATCAACCAGATCCACACATACATATAGTCAGGATTTTTTGGCAAAATGTTTTTCTACAGAAAAATGCTCTATTGAGGGAACACAACTTTCTGCAAAAGTATTTTGGTTTCTGCGAAGCTTTCTTTGTGAAGGGGCCTTTGTCCCAAAATGAAGAATTCACTGTCTTCATCTGCCTGTGCAGCCCCTTATGAGTTGGGAACGGCCTAAGTTCAAGTTCAGGCTCTGCCTGATTCAGAGCAAGGCTGTCAATCTGTTGTCTGCTTCCCAGGTGGAAGGGGCAGCAACAGTTACTGGCTTTTGTGATTCAGACCCCAGTGGAGTGGTAAGAGGAAATCACACATCGCTTCCACGCTGTTTTTGAAAGCAGGATTCTTGTTTTCTGTTTTCCACTGATGACAATTATGTTATTAAATCATAGAATCATAGAATAGTTTGGGTTGGAAGGGATCTTAAAGATCCTCTAGTTCCAACCCCCCTGCCATGGGCAGGGACAACTCCCACTAGAGCAGGTTGCTCAAAGCCCCATCCAGCCTGGCCTTGAACACCTCCAGGGATGGGGCATCCACAAATTCTCTGGGCAACCTGTTCCAGTGTCTCACCACTCTCACTGTAAAGAATTTCTTCCTGGTATCTAATCTAAATCTCCCCTCTTTCAGTTTAAAACCATTACCCCTTGTCCTTGTACTTTAAATAATTAAAGTACAGATCTTGGATCATATTGAGATATAGTACAGAATACCAATTGCAGTTTCTTTATTTGTTGTTCAGTAGCGTTGTTTTCACCTTTCAGGGTGTGCTGATGGTTGGTCCTCCTGGCACTGGCAAAACAATGCTAGCGAAAGCTGTTGCTACAGAATGCGGAACGACATTCTTCAATGTGTCTTCTTCTACCCTGACGTCTAAATACAGGGGCGAGTCTGAGAAGCTGGTCCGCCTCTTGTTTGAAATGGTATGTCCTCAGTGATGTGATCTGGGGATCACGGAGGTGAGGAAGGACATCTCACTTGGTTTCCTGCCCTGCCAGTAGCATGTTGGAAGCATGAAGTTCATTGAACTGACACTCCCTTGCTCAGTTAGAAAAACACAATCTCTGTGTTTCCATCCTTTTCTGGTATGTTGTTGAGGATTAAAAAGAATACAGTTGAACATCCATGTTTAGGATAGCATTTTCCAGACTAAATGTAGAGTCGTGACCTTGACAGAAATTCAGTTCTTAGTCAGTTTGGGGTAACAACCCCATAGGAAGTATATTTGAAACTGGAAGGGATTTGGAACTGTTATTCTAGAAGCAATACATGTTTTAGTTCTGTTTCTGTTCTGAACGATGGACACAAGCCTCTCAGTGACGGTCTGGGTGCAGTCTGTCATACAGGACATGGCCATGTGGACCTACACTGAAGAGTCAGTCACCTCTTTGGGATCCTTATTGCACTTGTACCATACTCTCACTTAAATCCTGTCTCTCTTGAAATAGGCTGAGCTCCCCTCTGACCCCTGTGCTTCCCCCTCACAAAACGCTGGGCATGAAAACTGCCTGTATTCTGATTGTGTTCCTTTCCCCCTTTGCAAGACCGGTTGCTGAGGAAAACCGACTGGCACTGAAAGGCCCCTGACTCAACGAGTAAAACTTAGAATCATAGAATCATAGAATCATAGAATGGTTTGGGTTGGAAGGGACCTCAAAGATCATCGAGTTCCAACCCCCCTGCCATGGGCAGGGACACCTCCCACTAGAGCAGGTTGCTCAAAGCCCCATCCAGCCTGGCCTTGAACACTTCCAGGGATGGGGCATCCACAATTTCCCTGGGCAACCTGTTCCAGTGTCTCACCACCCTCACTGTAAAGAATTTCTTCCTGATATCTAATCTGAATCTTTTTTCTTCCAATTTAAAACCGTTTCCCCTTGTCCTATCATTACACCTCCTGGCAAAGAGTCCTTCTCCAGCTCTTCTATAGGCACCCTTCAGGTATTGAAAGGCCACTATAAGGTCTCCCCGGAGCCTTCTCTTCTCCAGGCTGAACAATCCCAGCTCCCTCAGCCTGTCTTCATAGGAGAGGTGCTCCATCCCTCTGATCATCATTTAAAATGTATAAACTTCAGCATGTGCCAGACTGTTTGTAAATCAAGATTTTGAATTACTTTCTTGTGACAGGCAGGGAAGATATGTATGTAGCAGTCTGGTGGGACCGGGTGGTGGTCTGATGAGGGCCTGTGCTTGCTGCTACGTCCTTAATGTTTTCGTTTGAATAAAGGCGAGGTTTTACGCTCCAACAACGATCTTCATTGATGAGATCGATTCCATCTGCAGCCGCAGAGGCACCTCCGACGAGCACGAGGCGAGTCGCAGAGTCAAGTCGGAGCTGCTTGTGCAAATGGACGGTAACAAGCGTTTAGATCCCCCTTTGGGGCTGGGGGGCTGTTGCTTTACAGGTGGGAACATAAGAACTCGAGCAATTTGGAAAACCTGGCTTTATGATTAATGGAAATACAAGGCAGAACTCGGGAGTAGTGTATTTTTTGAGTGTTTGAAGGCAGGTGGCTGAAAAGGGTGTTCTGCTTTACTCTTTCTAAAATGGCCATTTTGATGGTAAATTGAAAACGCGTATTTGAGAGATAGAGACTCTAGGAGAAGGAGATAATGGAGATTTGTGCAGTTTAATACAGGTCCTTTGTTTAAATTGCATCGAAATTAATTTCTCCCATTTGCTAGAGTCTCCAGCTCGGGGACCCCATTGTGAGATCTGATTTTGCTGTAGTCTGTGATAGCAGCTAATATTACCCCTTTTAATCAAATTTAGTACCTGTTCCATGCAGGTGCACAGAATGAGGATGATCGTCAGAGGAATACTGTATGGCGTAGCGGTTTGATAACCACCTCTGTACTGCAATTATTGTTTAACTACTATTTATAATGTCCTCAAATGCGCAGGTTCATTGTGGTGAACTCAAAGTAGAAAACTTTTGGCCCCAAAGTGATAATTTCTTTGCAGTCCTCATTTGGGAGGCCAAATTCTACTTCTATGGCCAGATTTAGCAGAGATAGCTCTTTTGGTGGGACTAGTAGGGCCACAGTCAGGTATGATGGCGTTACTAGCACCGTCAAAGAAAGCCCTCCCCTTAGGCAGCAAAAGAATGAGCTGTCCCTCTCTCTGTGACGATGGTGGTCTTGTCACACCTAAGCTGTAGGAAGTTTGGAAAAGGGCACTGGGGCTATATAGAGCTGTTGCTTAGTTTTGTCTGGGCTTTTGCAATGTTAGTCTGTATTTCTTGGCAAGAATCTCAATCAATAAGAGCTGTGGAGTGAAATTGCTCTAAACCATTGTGCTTGCAGGGGTAGGTGGTGCTCTGGAAAATGATGACCCTTCCAAGATGGTTATGGTATTAGCAGCTACAAATTTTCCCTGGGATATTGATGAAGCTCTCCGACGGAGACTGGAGAAGAGGATTTATATACCTTTGCCTACAGGTATGTTTGCTACCAGCATTTTCCTTTAAAATGGCCTTTGTAAGACCATCTTAGGACTACTGCAGGAATGTTGGGTTTGGGAAGAATCTTTATGTTTCTGTGATGAGCAGTGAAATTCAGGGGTTAATCCTTTGGCTGGATTGCTTTATTTTTAAGGAGAGTGAGAGAAAGAAAAAAAAAAATACTACTTGCTTGGGGGCTTAAAAACAAAGAGCTGCAGCATTTCATTGCAAGCCCATTGATGGGTTCTTACATTTTGAAAGAGAGTTAGCTTTAATGAGCCTGGAATTATTTTAAATGTTTAACAGTCAGTCCTTGAGTGATCATCAAAAGCAGCCTTTGGACATGTTCAGAAATATTGCAAACGCACTCCGTGCCCTTGCAGACAAATGCAAAGAAGTGCATCCATGAATTTTCACTCAGAGGCGTAGTTCATTGTAAATCACTGCTCGCTCTCCTTTATGGCTGTGCTGCGAGTCACTCAGAATGCAGCAGGCTGATTGCTTTCCTGCCCTGAGACGTCTCGGCTTGTATTGTCTTTCCTAGCTGTCATTCACCTGTCCTATTAATTTTGAGATTCCTATCACTTGAAGTTTGCATAGCTTCGTTTCTTCTTGGTACAGTGGATGCCTCATCTCCCTGCATGAGCACTCAGGATAACAAGATGCGTGTTCGTGGTGACAGCAGTTGTGATTGAGTTTAGCAGGTATAAGGACACTTAATAGTTCTACAGCTTGTCTTTGCAGCTTACAGGCAGTAACAGCTCCTAACAGGATGCCTGTCTTTATGACCAATTAGTTTAAAATCCTATCAGCTCTTGCTCCTGTTTCTAATTAAACCAGATTGTTTTTTGACACAGTGCATTACACCCTGGACAATATACAAGATGTGCTCCATCTTTTATTTCCAATCTTATGTTCTGTTACGTCTTCTGTACACAAGAGTGTTGAGCTGTTCTGGGCAAGTCTAAATGATGCGTGTGTAACTGTGCTGTGTGGTTTGATGTGGTCAGCGTTTTAATTGAAAAAGTGATACGATATGTCATATATACACCTGTACATTGTGGAATTTGATGCAAGTATAGATTCTGCCATGTTTCATTTTCAAAATACTGCAAGGACTTGCTTATCCCCACAGCAAAGATTAGAGGAATGTGCTCTGATACAGGACACTCTCTGCAGGTATGCTATATGTACATTGTGCTCTGTAAATAATGAATCCCCATTTTATAGCCAGCGCCAGTTGTGTGTGATTGATAACTCTGTATTCTTGACAGTTGTGCAAAGCACACAAAAGCAGCTTTTGACAAGCTTTCTAAATTGTTTTATATTTCCCCTCCCCCCCATTTTTTAATTAGGGACATCAATAAATAAAATATAAGTGTGGACATTTCCTTGAGACTTTTAGCCTTTTCTGCTGCTACTTATTCTATTGTGGTTGTTCTCTTTTCTAGATCGTAAAAATTGGCCGCTGTGGAAATAAAGACGCTGAGCTGGTGGTGTGGTTTAACCCCAGCTGGCAACTAAGCACCACGCAGCCACTCACTCACTCCCCCTGCTGGGATGCGGGAGAGACTCAGAAGAGTAAAGTGAGGCAACACTTGGGTAGAAATAAAGAGATTTTGATAATTAAAGCAGAAGAAACCGTGCATGCAAGCACAGCAAAACAAGGAACTAATTCCTTACTGCCCCTTATCAGGCAGGTGTTTGGCCATGTCCAGGAAAGCACGGCTCCATCATGCATAATGGTTACTTGGGAAGACAAAATGCTGTAACTCTAAACGTCTCCCACTTCATTCTTCTTCCCCCAACTTTACGTACCATCTACAGTATGGAATATCCCTTTGGTCACTTGGGGTCAGCTGTCCCAGCTGTGTCTCCTCCCAGCTTTTTGTGCATCCCCAGCCCACTCACTGGTGGGGCGATGTGAGGACCAGAAAAGGCCTTGACTGCACAGCAACAACCAAAACCACCAGCGTGCTATCGACACCATTCTCATCCCAAATCCAAAACATAGCATTATGCCAGCTGCTAGTAAGAAAGTCAGCTCTGTCTCAGCTGAAACCATGACAGCTGGTATATTTTTCCATACAGTAATAGCCAGGAAAGCATTCATCCTCTTCTTCACCGCTCTTGTGCAGAGTAACACTGAAGCCTAAGCTGTCAAATGTGGATTCCCTGTTATACACCTAGGCTGCTTAACCAAATGCACATATGCACATGCCCTCTACTAGAAAAATGGTTAATTGGAACAGGTTGCCCAGGGAAGCTGTGGATGCCCCATCCCTGGAAGTGTTCAAGGCCAGGCTGGATGGGGCTTTGAGCAACCTGGTCTAGTGGGAGGTGTCCCTGCCCATGGCAGGGGGGTTGGAACTCGATGATCTTTGAGGTCCCTTCCAACTCTAACCATTCTATGATTCTATGATTAATTGGCTGCATAAGTGCCCATTTTCACAGCTGGTTATCAGTGTGTGCACGCTGCACCTAGCTCCGAATGTGGGATACCAGGACATTTGTATTGTAAATACATTAATATGTTTACTGTATTAATGTATCTGTTTTCTATCAGACTTCAGCAGCTTTCTTGGGTCCCAACTGGGTGAAGTGCTTAAACATATGCTTAAAGTTCAAGCTATTGTTAAGGGGTTTGTGCTGTCTGAAGCTCTGTTAATAGAATCCTCATTGTGATTCTAATGAAACCGTGTGAATAATATGCAATCAAACACTTGAACAGGGAGTGAATCCAAAGGGATGTAAGAAAAAGGAGACATTTGTAGGATTGCGGTTTTGTGCCCTTGGGTAGTATGTGACCAAATGCTTTGTCACCTGAGACATAACAGACGTTTTTAATGATGTATGACTTTGGAAAATGTCTCAAGAGTGTGCTGTTTTAATATGCTAGTTTTAACCATATACTTTAATGTACACTTTACTATGTTTTATTCTGTCTCTTTTCTTGTGTTAAAACCTTTTGTTTCTACTTTTCACTGAAAAAATCTAAGTTGTGTTTATGTCTTTTTTTAATGTTACTCTTGCAAGACTTCAAACAAGTATTTTTATGTTGTAGCAAAAGGCAGAGCAGAACTACTTAAGATTAATCTTCGGGAAGTAGAACTGGATCCTGATATCAGCCTTGAAGAAATCGCTGAGAAGATTGAAGGCTATTCTGGTGCTGACATCACTAATGTTTGCAGGTATTCCATCCCTCTTAATTTGCAAATAAAACTGCATGGGAAGTCATCATTTACATTATGTGATAAGAGGCAATGCCCACTGCAGCTGGAGCCACGCTGACAGTGGCTATGTTTGAGGCCCAAATCTGTTTACTGGAACCATGCGTTACTGTCATGTGGAGCAGTCTAAAGACCATGAAGGCTTTGTATGAGATGTGGTTAAGTTTTCTTGGCTCCGAAGAGAAAAAAATAATTGAGCAAATCTCGTGTTACCATTGTCTGCATTTACTGAATAATTTTTAATGTAGCACAAGCCATGTTTGGATTTTTTATATTTTTTTTTTAAATCCTGTGAGTTTAAGAGCTAGAATTCTGTGATGCAAAGGAACATTTCACAGAATACTTCTTCAGGGCTTGTATACGCTGTTTGTTTGGACAGCCTCCAGTGCTGCACCGTCTTGGTTTCTGCCTGAATTTTTTGGGTGCAAGGCTGATACAGGTAGTTTATAGCATTAGTATTGAATTTATTTCCATCCTGTTCCCACAATTTGTTTCATTTTTTGACAAATGAGGCTTTTCTGGTGGAGGATAGATATTTGAAAAAACTTATCAGGAGGAAGTCTATGTCCCTTACAACGTTAGGATCCCTGACAACAGAAACTGACCCTTTAAGAACGTGGCTTGGGATTTTTTTTCCTTCCCTGCTGCTTCGCTGAAATTGTGAAATGACTTCATGGTTTTGAAAACTTGGTGTGTGGCACGTGGTGCAATAGTGAAATTACCTTTCTCCCTGAGGCCTGTGTTATCCCTTGCTGGGAAAAAACCTGGGGAAAGAGAAAATGTAATTTCAGAGTGCATGTTGGCCCTGGTGTGAGAAATGAGCCGTGTTTCTCCATGCCAGTGGGCCACGCTGGCAGCATCCAAACTGGGGAGGAGTCGGAGCAGGTAGAGTGTGAGGAGCCACGGGCACCGATGGCCTCAGCCCTGCAGGGCCACGTGCCACTCGTGTCTGATGCCTCCTGCTCTGCCCTTTACAGATTCAGGTGCTACATGCCAGCAGGCAGCAGAGCTGGGCTGCACTGCGAACGCTTGCTGAGTGTCCTTTGGGGAGAAGGTTGAAATTCAAGGGGATGGGGGTGCAAAATCCAGACTACTTTAAAAAAAAAAAAAAAAAAAGACGAGTGCAGTTCCTCTCCCACCCTGCCCTTTCTTGCACTGAAGTTGTAAAATTTCATCTCTATGAAAAAGAGGTTTTCAGTTTTATAGTTTTAATTATCTCAGCACATTTACCATATGCTTAAATGGGTTTTGGTGCCAATGCATTCTTTCTGTTGAATTAATGTAGTGATCTGGGAACAAGGAAGCTAACAAAGATGTGAACCGCATCTTCTATGGTAAATAAATGCTCTCTTAAGTGTTCCTGCCAGTGGTTTCTAGCAAGAGAATACAATCAAAATTCATAGGCTTACAGCACATGCTGCTAGCAATTAGCTCCCATACATTGTCCTGTATTTCCAGGGATGCCTCTTTAATGGCAATGAGACGACGTATTAATGGCTTAACTCCAGAAGAGATTCGTGCACTTTCTAAAGAGGAGCTTCAGATGCCGGTTACCAAGGGGGACTTTGAGCTGGCTCTGAAGAAAATCTCCAAATCTGTTTCTGCTGCAGACCTGGAGAAGTATGAAAAATGGATGGCGGAGTTTGGATCTGCTTAATCTCAGTGACAGCTCTCCTTTGCTAGAGTTTTATGGTTTTTGTTGTTTTCACTTGCAGAATGAGTTAGAAATCTTTTAAAGGTTTAATAAAAGGTCTGCCTCTGCCCCCATCCCACCTCCTTCTGGTGACAAGATCTTTTAAACTCCATTTACCTTTAAAGGGAATGAACACAATAATGAGATGATACTGTAAAAGATATTTTATCTCTGAAATAGTAAAATAAGACAAACAGGAAGGGAAAAATTATACTTGTGAGGATAATATTTTTATTTTTCCAATGAAGAGCAGTATTACTTAACCTCCACCTAGTCATCTTTCATGGCTGGAATCAATAAATCAGCTGGAGGATTTGACTCTGGAGGAGCTAACAAGGGCTCGCTGTACCCACTGCTCTTCAGTGCTGCGTTTCTGTTGAGCTGCTGACTCTGCCTCCCTTGAATGTGGCATCCAAGTTACTGTTCTCTCTCTGCTCGGCTATTCAGAGCAAAGCCTGTGGATTAATTGCCATTACACAGAGGAAATGAGGATCGGTTTTCCATCAGACATGGGCTCGGCTCTCCTCTCATCTGCACCCGTTTGGAACTGATGTCACTTCAGACTGGAATGATGTTACCTGTGACAGCTTCTGATGGAGATGAGAAGAAAAGGGCCGTCATCGCTCACAGTCTGGTTTAAGCTTGATCTCTGAACATAGTTTCTACCAGTTTGACCAGTAGACACTTTGAAGTTTGACAAGTAGGCACTTTGATTTAAGTTGTCTTGCACTTTTATGCTTATGTATCAGCCTATACTTTTTCTGTGATGTCTAGATATTATTATTACTATTATTTAAGTACCAAGAGTTTAATACAGTAAAGACACTAATATCAAGGCTGTCTTTAAAACACAAGGCTGTCCTTAAAACATGTGGTTGTGGACTTCCACTTCTGATCAGAATGAACTCTTTCCTAACTTTACCAGACAATGGAATTTGCGCTCATTTATGTTGTAGAACTGTTCATGCTTCCAATTTTTTTTTAATGAAGTTTTCTTAAAAATGTATGTATGTTACTGATTTAGGGGAAAGTAATCTGTACAATATCTCATTTATGTTCTTATTTGTTTCTTCCCTTCCCATGTACAAGTGCAGGGATGAGAGGGGCTGGGTTATAAATTCTAGCGTGAGAAATCCTTTCTCTAGAGCGTAACTGTCATGCAGACTAGATCAGCTTTTCACAGACTCAGGATGCGAGTCTGACATATGAAGGTTTCCTGTGGTAGGAAGGAGAAGGAGAGGTGAGATTTACAGAGGAATATGCAAGCTCTCCAATTTTTGGAGATTTTTGTGAGCTTGCTGTATCTTGGTGGATGTGAGTCGCTGTGCGGCTCAGGAGGTATTCTGCCCTTCGGGTCTCTGCTGAGACTCCTAGTGGCATAGTCAGATGGGGCAAACTGGAGCAAGAAACAGATTAACACTTCCTCTTGAATGGGAATATATCCTTATTTGCTCTCTTTGGCTAGTTCTTGGAAATTCCCAATAACATCAGTAATTCAGCACACTGGTCTCTTGGGCCGTGAACCACTACAACAAATGCTGCTCAACTCTTTCTACTGTTCAATAGCAAGGACTGTCAGGATACGTGCGTGACAGCTCTGCAGCATCTGTCTGATTACATGAGCCACTTCTGAAGCTGTTTTACCATTGCTGCTCTGCTGTGTCTGTCATATTCCTTTCCCTTTCTTTGTATGCGAAGACCACGTCTCGGATTGATCCTGTCATTTTAAAGGGCTGCCCCAATTTGCATGAAGAAACACCATAGAGATTCTGTCAGTCTTGCATTTTCCATGAAGCTCAGCCAGGGCTCTAGAAGTGTGTTTCCATGTGGTACTCCAGAAAAACATCTTCTGGGGCCCCCAGACTGGTTGGGAGACAGCTGCTGTTCACGTCTTTCCAGGGACAGAGCATCTCCGCTGCCTGCTGTTAGGCCCTGCTACACTCCTGGACAGGAAGGTTAGAGCAGAAAGAACACCAGCTTTTACTCTTCCTACCCACAGGGAGAATAAATGTTTATTTCCTGAGCAGTTTGCAGTAACTGCACAGTGAAGCCCTTGGGATTCACAATACCCGTGGCTGTCGGAAGGTGAGCAAGCAGAAGCCTTTATAGCTCTTTATGACTCTTTATAATTTTTGGATAAATTCCTTCCAGGGCTAGTCTGTGCCTTCCAGGGAATAACTGAACTTTACAGAGGGAAAGCTTTGAAAGCATTGCTACGGTCTGTCATTTCTTCCTTATGAAAGCTGCAGGCTGCAGCCCTTACTCTTTTTGTTTGTTTGTTTGTTTGTTTGTTTTTTACTGCAGCAGAAGTAAGTAAAGCTACACAAATCTTTTGTGGCCAGTGCCAGATTAGCACTTTGCGGTCTCTCATGAGAGAGGCCGTTGCTGCCCAAGAACCTTTCTACAGAAGCAAGATCTAGAAGGGAATAGACATGAGTGCCAGTAACTTACCCATTTCAGCTGCCCCGGAGCAGCGCTGGGATTCAGCAGCTGCTGCTTAGAAAGGTCTAAGGACCAGTTTTCTTAGTTTCCTTTTGCCAGCAGCAGTGCCCTTCCTGCTGATGAAAGCACAGCGTTTAGCAAAAATGTCATTCCTTAGCTCTTGGATGAAGCTCCTACCTTAAGGCGTTAACCTTCCCTCTTGTATATTAAGCAAGATTCACTTTACTGGGCATTCCCTCTAGTAGGAATTACTCAGGTGCTGTGGTCTTTTTCTCTAAAGGTCATGATTTCTACCCCAAAACGTGTTTTTCCTGTACAGGTCCATTCATCATTTACTGCTGCAGAACAGAAAAGTGAAAGTTTCCAGGCTGCAGATGTTCATGGGTACGATGGTTGTGCCCAAGCATTGCACCCGTGACTTGGGCTCCGCTAAGTCAGGCACCCTGCAAGGCAGAGACCATCCCTTCCTTGCTGAGACTTCTCAGGAGGGGTATCTGGCCCTGAATGTTGACCCTTAACATCTTTACCCTGGTGCCCTCACCTGGGTGGGCTTGGAGGCCAGGTTGTTACCTCAAGAGGGGAGCCAGCAGCGGGGTGCAGCAGGGAGCAACCAGGGAAGGAAGGCTGGGCCAACAGCAGCAGCGACTCGAGGCCCTGAGGATGAGCTTACGGCTCAGCATACCTCCAGTTCGTGTCCCACTGCAGAAAACCCTTGTGTAGGGGTGTTGGGCTCCTCCGAGAGCAACCCATGGGTTCCTCAGAGAGCAATGTGCAAACGTATCACGGCCTGCTGCGGCAATTTGTTCCATCTGTGTCTGTATGTCTGTGGAGATACACGTGCACACGTGTGTATGTGGATATATAGGCACACAATGTGGTGTGCTTCAGTAGTTTGTACCTAAATTACATAAAAAACATGTTTTGAAGCTGTGTTTATGTGTCTCTTTCTAAAACATCTGTGAAGGCCCTCTTGGGTGGCGCTGTTAATTTCTGTACAATAAGCAATCTGGTTGTATGAAGTAATAAATGTACGCGTAGAGTCTGCCTGTCTCACTGGGGTTGGGCTGCGAGGGCTTTGCTGGTAGCTCTTTCCAAAGGCTGCCATAACAATGCAGAGCTTTTCAGCATGTCATGGTGGTGTTGGACTCACCAAAGTCCTGGCCGGAGAGCAGTTAAAGCAGAGTCTGGTTTTTTTGGATAACACTGTCAGCAATGCTTTCCCTCTTAAATCCTCCTTTCCTTGCCACAGGCTGTAAAACGGGGAATGCTCCAATGGCCAGCACATGGGAGGAGGGTGGGGGCGAGGAGAGCAGAGGCCCCAGCAGATGTTCAGTGTTAGCACCTGATTCAGACCTCACAGAGCCGGGCAGGCTTTTTTATTACTTGCCCCTGGGCTGGAAGTATAATCGGGCTCCAGAGAAGCTGTATCATTGGCTGCCTGCTAACCAGAAGGCTTTCAAGAGCAAAACGTCTTTTAGGAAAGAGCTTTCAAACTTGGAAAGAGACCCCAAGTCTCTTAGGACTAAGCTGATTATTTGAATTTTCTCACTAACTTCCTTATGAAAGAATGTGTAGTTTCCAGTGTTTCATAATGCCTCCAACATGAAAGAGCGAGGAAGGGAAATTGCTGATCAAGGGATTTCGGGAGAGGTCAAATCTTTGCATAGAAAGTTCAGCTCACCCCAGTTTAAAAGAGACTCTGAAATCACAAAGGTGCACCGGCTTGTTCTGATCATGGCAAAGATGAAAGGGCTTGTGTGCTGTCAAGAAGCCCTCCGTCAAGCGAGCAGAGCCTTAGCTGTACAATCCCAGCACAGGGAGGTGGAAGCACCAGAGGAAACAGTGAAAAGTTTTTACCTGGTTTTGGAATAAACCACCCCAAATCAGTTTGTGGCCTGAGAGCTAAATCTTTTTATGAGTCTGTAGTGACAGATAGGAATGTGAGGAACCGGCGGGTGAGAGTGCTTCTGGGGAGGAAGCTGGGAGCCTGGGAGCACCAGAGGAAAGGGCTGGTGTGAAGTGGGTGTCAGCACCGTGGTGGCAACCGGGGACCCCTTTGCATCAGCCACCCACCGGACAACGCCGTAGGTGGGGGCTGCAGCCAAGCCAGGCAGGCGTAGTCATAGTAGCCCTCTGATGGGCTACTGAGGCTACTGCTCAGTATAAAGCCACCCGTGATGGCTTTATAGATGGGAGCCAGACCGGACAACGCCGTAGGTGGGGGCTGCAGCCAAGCCAGGCAGGCGTAGTCATAGTAGCCCTCTGATGGGCTACTGAGGCTACGGCCCAGTATAAAGCCACCCGTGATGGTGACAGCAAAGGCAGCGAGATGCTTCAATTCAGCGAATGTGGCACACGGTCTTCTTCCCTGCTCACGTTAAGTGTTTCACGAGAGCACTGTTGTGAAAACTTGGCTGTGGCTGTGAATGCCTCAATCACCCGTGTTTTGGGTCCTGGCTTCCACATGGACTTGAGCAACCAGAGCTACCACAGCAAGTGATGTTCCCACCTCCCGCAGCACAGGGTCGTTTGTCCCTCTCTGCTTTCTAAGCCAGCCTGGTTTTGTGCACCAGTCGTGACCTGTTCTTCTGACCCACGTAACACGTACACGGTTGTTCAGTACCTCGAAATTCAGTGATGGTGACAGCAAAGGCAGAGAGATGCTTCAATTCAGAGAATGTGGCACATGGTTTTCTTCCCTGCTCACGTTAAGTGTTTCACGAGAGTGCTGTGTGAAAACCTGGCTGTGGCTGTGAATGCCTCAATCGCCCGTGTTTTGGGTCCTGGCTTCCCACATGGACTTGAGCAACCAGAGCTGCAGCAGCCAGTGATGTTCCCACCTCCTGCAGCACAGGGTTGTTTGATCTTCTCTGCTTTCTAAGCCAGCCTGGTTTTGTGCACCAGTCGTGACCTGTTCTTCTGACCCACGTAACACGTACACGGTTGTTCAGTACCTCTAATAGTGGAGCTCTTTTTGTGCGATACGGACCTCGCTCTTGATCAGCTAAAGTTCTATTCTCCTACACATACCTACACTCAGGTGTCTTGGAAAGATCCAGGCAATTTTCTTCTTCTTCAGAAGGCCCTAACTAGCATTAAAAGCGTATGGGATGAGATGTCTTGGCTAACCTGGTTGCCCAATGCAAGAACACTTACCTCAACAGCCAAAGAAGTGCCACAAGCTCTAGCTTTCTTAGGAAGAGGCAAAGTGTGGGGATGTTCCCAGTCCTGCCACACAGGCAGAGTTAGGGCCATATCGTGTCCAAGCTCTGGTTTCTGGATTTTGTGTATTTGTGACTTCTTTGTTGTAGTAGGAACATTTTTTCTCTGAGTTAGGGGGAAGCCATGTGGTTTAGGTTCAGTGGCTGGGGGAGGGTTTTGGGGATCCCATGATCTGTTTGGTACATGAAGTTGCTGAGCCCATTCCCAGCGTGCTTACTTTTGGAGGACAGCATCATGCATCCTGCTTGGCTGTCTGGCTGTACAGTAAAGTCACTTACTGTGGCTGTGCAAAGTCACTTAAATATTTAGAATATTAGAGCGAGATTATCTAAAAAAGTGAGAGAAATTAGAGAGAAATTCTCTAATAAAGAGAGAAATTCTTACTACCAGATTACAGCTGTGTTGCTCCCATTTGTGAGCAGTCCCTTGCATAAGCTGTTCACCTGATGTAAAAGAAGCTGTCTTGGAAGTAAGAGGTTTTTGAACTTGACTTTGGAGAGCAAGAAAGGTAGAAAAATATTTGCCTAGAGGAATATACCGGACTACCCAAGACATCGAGAGCTAAAATTTCTTCTTTTTGTGGCTTTCCTTTTTGTCTAGCAGTTACACTGCTGGGTTGTTCTTTCTGGTTCCAATTTGTTTTGAAATAATTACCATTGTTTATCCATCTCCCCAACAGCCTTTGCAGATGAATTGGTTCCACAGAGCCCTCTTTTGCTTAGCGGTTGGTGTTCTTGCACAGCGTGTTGTGTGACATCTAATTGATCGGGCTGATGGCATGAGATCTTCCGTGTGATGTAAAGGTCACTGGAATGGTGAAGGTGAGAGGTACTGCACAGAATAGCAATCGGACTGGCGGTAGCAGAAACCATAGCAACTCTGCACAGGTTTATAAATATAACCGAGAAGAAGAAAGGGAATAACCTTAAGGAGCTGCTTGACAACACTGCAATATGCATGTTGATAAAAACGATGGTCTTTGCCAGTGAGGAGAACGTGTGTAAGAGGGTGGAAGTGGCTCGGTGAACAAAGGAAGCCAACAGCAGGTGCTGCCGACAGGTTTCGTCCCTCAGACTTGCTGCTTAAAAACATGCCCATCTCCAGGGCCAGTTTGTTACGGCCACCACGAACACCACCTTTTAGATAATCAAATTTGTCTTCCTGGTAGATTGCTTCCCATCTTGAAATGTCTTCAAACTTTGGGGGTATGCTGGGGCCAGAGTGTTTTTGGAGGGCTAGAAGAATAAGGGTATGTTGACAGTGATGTGTTTCTGTAGGGTCCTGGGGCTCTGTTGTGCTGGATACTGTTCAGGTGCACAAGAAGAGATGCTGCAAGTGCTGATGGGGAGCCAAGGTTGTAGGTGGATGAGGAGAGAGGTGGGCGTGAAGTCACTCACCCAAGGTCCTGGCATCAGTGGAGGAGACAAAACTGTCTCTCTGGCTTCCAGTTCCTGCATCCCCATCCCCGAAAGCATACAATAGTGTTTTTCATTTGCTTCTGATTTGCAGCCTCCCCCCTCCGCCCCAGCATTTTTTTCTACTGAGGCCAAAGATCCCTGTATTATGAATTAAACACAGCAAGTTTGGTTTTCTTAAATACCTTCTGCAGGCCCTTAACAAATAGCCTGTGGTGCTCCCGAGGGCTGCAGACCATAGTTTGAAAAGCACTGGCCCATGTCATCCTAAGCTTGCCTGAATTTCTGATGGAAGAGACTCTATAATGGATGCTGTTGATTTTATTTTCTTCTTGTTAGCTTGCTCAGAAGGATGAAGCTCAGCGAATGTGAGGTGCTTGTGGGGAGTTTATTTACAGTGTGTTTTTTTCTGTGCAGATTAGCATTTCATCAGCATATGGCACAGCCATTTAAAATAAATATTTGGCTTTCCTTAATTTATGCTTGTTTAGAAAGGTCCCTGAGTATGCATATCTATCCCTCTGTTGTATCTAATTAGACATTTCTACCACGGTGCTGGGGGACCGGGCTCCTTCCCCCTCACCCAGGAGCTGTGATTCACGTGCTCCTCCCCTGCATGATGGACCCACACGCCTCAACTCAGGGGGAGCAGGACAGACGGCTGTCCCCTCTGTTGGTGGGGCTGCCAGCAGCACTGCCGGGTCAGCCTCCATCTCCAGGCCCTGGGAATTTAGATTTATTTAAGCTGGGAACCTGCCCAGCTTAAGCAAATGCTTGGCATCCCGTCCACACTCACCTCCTTCGCCCGCCAAGGCAGCTGGGCTTTGGCAAAGGCACAGCCCTGGGACGTCGTGTGGGAGCAGACAGCTTGGGCTGGGGAGATGCTGGAGGAGGAGGTCAGGCAGCGGTTAGGGTAGGACACCAGGCTGGGCTGCATCCCCGTGTGCCTGCTCTGTGCCAGCAAGGGGAATCCATGGTGAGGAGAGGGAGAAGCGCTCCCCCAGGAACACCATACGGACACGGATGGGAGAAGAGCAAGACACTTATTTTAAAACAAAGGAACAAATGAAAAACTAATCAGTTTTAAGATGGAGCGGAGCCTGCCACAGCCAGTGACCCAGGAGGCCTTTTCCAGCTCTGTGGCATATCCAGATGTTTTGTGTTCTCACAGATGATTCGGAAACTTTCCACTAGTTTCCAATCTCAATAAGTTCACGCTTGATTTGTATCCGTCTGATCTTGTGCTAATGTCATCTTCTAACGAGTAGGTCTTACTCCCTGATACCTATCCTACATCCCTGAATGTATTTATAGATTCATCATATAAAGCAACACCTTGTGCTTTGTTAGAGTGTATGAGCTCCTTCGGTCTCTTTTATAAGACAGATCCTCTTCAGTCACCTTT